GGGGGGCAGCAGAGTCAGGATGAGGGGATAGGAGGACAGACAAGGCTTGATTTAAAAGGGAGGGTGGGCCGGTTTCAAGGCGGATGAAGCCCAGGGCGGGTCAAGGTTTCCAAGAACACCAAAAGTGGGAGAGGGAGACAGATGTGCGGCCCAGAGGGGGGGGAGGGCTCGGCCCCCAGGGCCAGAGCGTCCCAGGAGACTGGGGGGGGGCTTGTTGTGAAGAGCAGAATCCACATCTGGAAAGAGGAGGTCTTCCTTTATTGGGGTTTGGGGGGGGAGACTTTTCAAATGGTTTTGGGGAGGGCGACCCTGGAGAACAAGGGGGGGGGGGTTTCAAGGAAATGCTCACATCTGGCTGATTAGAAGGAGGGCAGACAACGATGGGGGGGGGAAGCGATGATTTGAGGGGACAGGGGGAACACCTGGATGTCTCTTCAAACACCACATGCAGACAGTCCTTGATTTACAACAGCTCATTTACTGACTGTCCCAAAGATGCTTTTTTTTTCAGCAGGCAACTGGACTTTCTGCTTTTTCCTTTGAAGATGTTTCCCTTCTCCTCCACGGAGCTTCTTCAGCTCTTGACTGGAGGGTGGGGAAATGGAAGGATTTATATTCCTGTACATTTATATTCCTGTGTCTGCTAGGAAGATATATCCTTCCATTTGCCCAAGAAGCTGAAGAAGCTTCTTTTGGATGAGAAGCGAAACGTCTTCAAAGAAAAACAAGAAAGTCCAGTGGCCTCGTAAAAAAAAGCATCTTTGGGACAACCAGGACCTGGAGGACGGAGAATCTCCATAGATATTCATTTACTGACTGCTCAGACTTACGACGGAACTAAAAAAAAAGTGACTTTATGACCGGGTTTTTCACACTTACGACCTCACACATCAACATTCAGACGCTTGGCAACTGACTCGTATTTATGATGGGTTGCAGCGTCCCGGGGTCGCAACGAGCCAAGTCAAGGGGGGGGAAAAAGCCAGATGATTCACTTAACAACCGTGTGACTAAGTTAACAACGGCAGGGATCTATTTAACGACGGTAGCAAAAAAAAGATGGTGAAAGGGGGGTGGGAAACTGGCTTAACCAACAGTCTGGCTTAGTGACAGAAACGAAGATGGGATGTTCTCATGCCGGGTTGATTCATGAGCTGAGGGGGTCAAGGAGAGCCACTGCCCACGTGTCAGACGGGGCAAATTTATGTCTGAGAAAACAGCCCTTGCCTCGGACCCAGGTGTGGGGGGGGGAGATCTAAAGGTGCTTTGAGGTCACCATCAACAGACCTTCACCCCTGGAAAGGGGGCTGGGGGACACGGGGACAGGCAGACAAGGAAGTAGGCCATGCCTTCACAAAATGGCCAGCTCGTTGTTGCCACCAGTGGCTTAGAAAAATCTTTTTCCCTTCTCATCTCGACATAAAGTTAGAAGACTCTCATTCCCTCCCCCAAAAGGAGGGGTCCTTCCTACTGCATCCAGTTTTGGTCTCCACACTATAAAAAAAAGACGTTGAGACTCTAGAAAAAGTGCAGAGAAGAGCAACAAAGATGATGAGGGGACCGGAGGCTAAAACATGTGAAGGACGGTTGCAGGAACTGGGCATGGCTGGTCTAGTGAAGAGAAGGACCAGGGGAGACATGATAGTAGGGTTCCAATATTTGAGGGGCTATCACAGAGAGGAGGGGGTCAGCCTATTTTCCAAAGCACCTGAAGGCCGCACACGGAATAACGGATGGAAACTGATCAAGGAGAGATTCAACCTAGAAATAAGGAGGAATTTTCTGACAGTGAGAGCAATCAACCGGTGGAACAGGAGTTGCCTTCAGAAGTTGTGGGAGCTTCATCACTGGAAGCTTTCAAGAAAAGACTGGACAGCCATCTGTCAGAAATGGTGGAGGATCTCCTGCTTGGGAAGGAGGGGTTAGACTAGATGACTTACAAAGGTCCCTTCCAACTTCGTTATTCTATTCTATTCTATTCTATTCTATTCTATTCTATTCTATTCTATTCTATTCTATTCTATTCCTTATTTCTATTCTATTCTATTCTATTCTATTCTATTCTATTCCTTATTTCTATTCTATTCTATTCTATTCTATATCCTTATTCTATTCTATTCTATATCCTTATTCTATTCTATTCTATTCTATTCCTTATTTCTATTCTACTCTATTCTATTCTATTCTATATCCTTATTCTATTCTATTCTATTCTATATCCCTATTCTATTCTATTCTATTCTATTCTATTCTATTCTATTCTATTCTATTCTATTCTATTCTATTCTATATCCTTATTCTATTCTATTCCATTCCATTCTATTGTCTATCATCTATTCTATTCTATTCTTTGTCTATTCTTCGTCTATTCTATTCTATTCCATATTCCCTTCCTTCCCTTTTTCCTTCCCTTCCCCTATTCCTTTCCATATTCCATTCCATTCCCTTCCTTTCCCTTATTAACTGGCCTTCTCCAACCAAAGACCCACAGTTCCTCCTCCTCCTCCTCCTCCCTCCCTCCCTCCCTCCCTCCCAGCACTGATGACGTTACCTGCTTGGGTAATGAAACGTCTTCCAACCAAACCCACCACGCTCAGAGAGTGCCCAGGACCCCTCCCCAGCCTTTACCTGTGAAGCTCATCATCGGAGGGCGAATACTGGGCGGTGACGTCCGCCAGGTCCCCGAAGATCTGCCGGCTGTAGACGGTGAGGGAGGAGAGCAGGATCAGCTCCTGCCAGGTGGAGCTGAGCAGGCAGGTGTAGTCCTTGATGGACAGCTCGCAGAAGAAAGGCAGCTTCTTGATCCAGGAGATCTGCCGGAAGAGCAGCTCATCCGCCAGCCGACACAGCAGGGCGAACAGCTCGGCCTGGGTCACTCGGTACCTGGGGGAGCCGGGGACAGCCGAGAGGTTGGTCTGGGACAGCAAAAAGGGGATCTTCCGGTCCCGGATTCTCCTAGTATAAGGATAGGCAACCTTGGCTCTTTTATGACGCGTGGACTTCAACTCCCAGAATTCCTGAGCCAGCGTGGGGGAACTATGGCCCCCCTCATGACTTGTGGACTTCAAGTCCCAGANCTTATAGACGGCTTCGCAGCTCTCTCTGAGCGGTTTACAGAGTCAGCATATTGGCCCCCAACAAGCTGGGTCCTCATTTTACCGACCTCGGAAGGATGGAAGGCTGAGTCAACCTTGAGCTGGTCAGGATCGAACTCCTGGCAGTCGGCAGAATTAGCCTGTAATACTGCATTCTAATCACTGCGTTACCATGGCAGATGATAGATAGATAGATAGATAGATAGATAGATAGATAGATAGATAGATAGATAGATAGATAGATAGATAGACAGACAGACAGACAGACAGACAGACAGACAGACAGACAGACAGACAGACAAATATGATAGATAAGAGATAGACAGATATGATAGACAGACAGATATGATAGAGATATAGATAGATATAATATAGAGAGATAGATAGATATGACAGAGATAGACAGACAGATAGATATGAGAGAGATATAGATAGATAGAACCAGCACTTAGACTTATACACCGCTTCACAGTGCTTAGATATAGACAAATATGATAGACAGAGATAGACACAGATATGATAGACAGAGATAGACAGATATGATAGACATAGAGATATAGAGATAGACAGATATAATATAGAGAGATAGATAGATATGACAGATAGATAGACAGATAGATATGAGAGAGAGATAGAACCAGCACTTAGACTTATACACTGCTTCACAGTGCATAGATAGATAGATAGATAGAACCAGCACTTATACACCGCTTCACAGTGCTTTACAGCCCTCTCTAAGCGGTTTACACAGCATATTAGCCCCCAACAATCTGGGTCCTCATTTTACCGACCTCAGAAGGACGGAAGGCTGAGTCAACCTGAACTAGTGAGGATTGAACTCCTGGCAGTGGGCAGAATTAAGCTGCACCGCGCCACCACGGCTCTTTGGACAACCAGGAAGATGGCTTGATGTGGAGAAGGGAATAGAAACGTCCTCCTCCGAGCCTGGAGAATTGGAGGGCAAGCTGAAGGAGCAACGATGGTGCCCTTGCTTGGTTTAGGACTTGTGGGTTGTTGGTCTCCAGAAGCTCTGGATGAAAACAAGCCCCAACATTCTTGTGCTACTCCGGGGCCTCACCCTAGAAGATCAACCGGGTGCTTGGGACGACTTTTGAGCCCTGGGAGTGATGTTTCTCAACCTGGGCAACACTAAGATGGGTGGACTTCAACTCCCAGCATTCCCCAGCCGTCTGGGAGTTGAAGTCCACCCATCGTAGAGGTGCCAAGGTTGAGAAACACAGCTTGGGAGACTCCCAGCTTCCAGAGGTCAGCCCGAGGAGGACCTCCTGAGATGACTTGCTTACCTGCGATGTACCGGATCTCCGGTAGACACATCATCAGGTCCGGAAACCGGTTTGGCTGGTGCGGGTATTTGAACTCCATGAAGTCCTGGCAGACGTACCAGTATCGCTTGTTCAACTGCTCCAGCTGGGAGGCGTTGGCCAGGCCCCGGATATCTGGATGGAAGACAGCACGTGAGGAGGAGGAGGAGGAGGAGGAGGAGCCTGCTTCTCAAATATAATGCAACCCATTGGCTCTCTCATTTTGGCAAAAGGACAATTGTGCCGCGTGTGAAGAGAGAAAGGAGAACTGAAGAACTGTCTTGAAGATGACCCAACGTGGACTGTAAATCAACATCCAGACTCTCAAAGCTTCTGCTTCCATCTCCAAGCAAGCAGCCTCACCAGCAATGAAGCGAGACGTGCCGCACCCACGTCCCAAATCGCAAAGACGGGCGTTGGCTGCACCCAACAGGTCATCCCAATGGGGTATTTTGGCCTGCCGCACGCAGCACGTCTTGTAGTATACCTTCCTTGGCCCAGGTGGCGATGACGTTGGGGAGGTCCCTGGTTCCATTTCTGGCGGGCTCTTTTTCCTTGATCCCATTTCCTTTGGCCTTTTGGGTCAGCCCAAGGTGGAAGCTTGGGAGACCTTCTAGAAGTTGCCCAAGAGAACTCCCAGGTTTATTTTTTATTTTTTTGTCACGGGGATGAGGCTGTTGGGAGATGTGATTGGCAACCTCTGGAGGGTCCCAGGTTGCCCTTGGGACCAATGAAACCACCAGAAGAACAGGGCCATCAGAGCTGGCTATGGGGCCATGGGGTTTGTGGTCTTCTCCTCCAACCCCCATGAGACCACCAGATGAACAGGGCCATCAGAGCTGGCCATGGGGCCATGGGGTTTGTGGTCTTCTCCTCCAACCCCCATGAGACCACCAGAAGAACAGGGCCATCAGAGCTGGCCATGGGGCCATGGGGTTTGTGGTCTTCTCCTCCAACCCCCATGAGACCACCAGATGAACAGGGCCATCAGAGCTTCGGGCCAGGATGGAAGCCCATCCTCCTGGCCGCTTACCTTGGTTGAGGAAATTGATGGCCTTCATGCAGGCGTACTCCTCGTTGCTGACTTTCAACTGGCTGAACTTGCGATACAGGTAGATCAGGCGTTCCATAACTTCCATCCCTTCTTCGCTGAACCTTCAGGAAGAGGAGAAAAGAAGGTCTGAGGGACTCGATTCCCCAAGCTCCCGTCTTGAGGAACCAACGGAGGACAGCCCAGCAGAAGAAGACCCAGCAGCAGGAGAGACGCTCGGGGCAATCAGAACGGTGTCAGAAGATGGCCAGGGATTCTGAAGGGGGGGTAAGCCATCTGCGGTGGCTTTAATGAACAGAAGGACAAGGGGAGACATGATAGCAGTCTTCCAGTATCTGAGGGGCTGCCCCAAAGAAGAGGGAGTCAAGCTCTTCTCCAAAACCCCAGAAGGCAGGACAAGAAGCGATGGATGGAAACTAACCAAGGAGAGAAGCAACCTAGAACTAAGGGGAAACTTCCTGACAGTGAGAACAATTAACCAGTGGAACGACTTGCCACCAGAAGTTGTGGATGCTCCAGCACTGTAAGTTTTTAAGAAGAGACTGGACAGCCATTTGCCTGAAATGGCATAGGGTCTCCTGCTTGAGCAGGGGGCTGGACTAGAAGACCTCCAAGGTCTCTTCCAACTCTGTTATTCTATTAATTCTATTCTGTTAATTCTATTAATGTTATTCTATTATTATTATTATTATTATTATTATTATTATTATTATTATTCTATTAATTAACTGTTATTCTATTAATTAACCAGTGGAACGGAAGTTGCCTCCAGAAGTTGTAGGTGCTCCATCACTGGAGTTTTTTAAGCAGAGACCGGACAGCCACCTAACTGAAATGGCATAGGGTCTCCTGCTTGAGCAGGGGGCTGGACTAGAAGACCTCCAAGGTCCCTTCCAGTTCTATTTTGATTGGATAAGACTCCTGCTTGAGCAAGGGGTTGGACTAGAAGACCTCCAAGGTCCCTTCCAGCCTCTATTCTGATGGATTGGCTGAACCAGTGGAATGGCTTGCCTCCAGAAATTGTGGGTGCTACATCACTGGAGGTTTTCAAGAAGCCACTGGACAGCCACTTATCTGAAAGGATGTAGTAGGGTCTCCTAGCGCGGACTAGAAGACCTCTAAGGTCCCTCCCAACTCTTGTTTATTCTGCTGTTCTGAATAATCGGATCATTGGCTTCAGGAAAAGCACCACAGGAGGGGGGGGGGAAGGGGTCTCTGCTCCACTCTTCTGCTTTGGGAAATGTCTGCTTCCTCTCCCCCCCCCCAATTTCTGCTCCTCAGAGACCCACCCGAGGTCCCCCCCCCTGCATTCCCCAGAGAGCCAATCTGCAACACGCTGGCCTTTTCAGCTCCTGATAAGAGGAACGGATGAGAATCCCAGATGCTATAAATTTTGCTCTGCATTTGCAGCGGGGGGGGGGGGGGGGGAAGGGGGGGGCAGCAGAGTCAGGATGAGGGGATAGGAGGACAGACAAGGCTTGATTTAAAAGGGAGGGTGGGCCGGTTTCAAGGCGGATGAAGCCCAGGGCGGGTCAAGGTTTCCAAGAACACCAAAAGTGGGAGAGACAGATGTGCGGCCCAGAGGGGGGGGAGGGCTCGGCCCCCAGGGCCAGAGCGTCCCAGGAGACTGGGGGGGGGGCTTGTTGTGAAGAGCAGAATCCACATCTGGAAAGAGGAGGTCTTCCTTTA